CTACATCTGCCTGCTTAGTCCCTACTCCATGTCAGTCTAGCTCTTTGCCTTCTGATTTTGTTTTAGTTCAGGTTCTAGACATGTTCCCATGTGGTTTTTACCTCTTTGTCATAACCCAAAGTGGTTACAAGAAATCAAAGATATGATTTATTAGGGCTTGGATATATACTTATGCTGTGAGGAATTGATTGTTGTGACTTTGTTACTTTGGTTATTCTTGCATTTTCTCAAAAGAAAAAGTATTTCCCCTTTAGCAAGAAATATAAAAACTTTTTGTTTAAAACACATTCTTTGGAAGTTGGAAGACAAGACTGAAAAACAAAATTTAGAATCTGAATGTGGTATTATATAGACATTTTCCTATAAATTAGAAAAACCTTAATTTGAATATATTGTCTTTAGAGGCTTTAGAAATTCCCTGATTAATTTCTAGTTCTAACTGTATAATCTGCAATATCTCTCCTTGTTATGAGGATATATAGAGGAGACAATTCATGAACAGTGCTTACTGAACACAGAGCCTATTCCTGAGTTGGGGCTTAAATAATCACAGAAACCACCATTAGTTTATACAAGTGCACTTTTAATGTAAAAAGTGAGAAAAAATAATTCTGTAGACTTTCCACTAGGTGAGTGACATCTCATTTTCTTTTTCTGAAAGAATTCATGACCTTTGACAAAAATCTGAAATTTAAGAAAAGTTGCATAATGAGCTAGTTTGCAGACTTAATGAGATATTAAAAATGGTTTTCTGCATTTGAATAGCCTTTCTTTCTTTTTTTTAAATAAATAATTACCTTCAAATAATCTACAGAAAGCTAAGAGAAATTTTTTGAAAAAATAACCTTAATCCTGGTAAGTGGTATAATGAAACAGACAGTAAATGTATTGGCTCAGTTAGAATTAGAGGTATATCTTAAGTTTATTTTTAATTACACTTTATTAATTATGTTATTACAAATGTCCCAATTTCCCCCCTTTACCCTCATTCACCCAGAACCCACACACCCCCTCAGGCAATCCCCACACCATTGTTCATGTCCATGGTCATGCATATATGTTTTTGGCTACTCTATTTCCTATACTGTACTTTACAGCCCCATGGCTATTCTGTAACTACCTACTTGTTTTTCTTAGTCCCCTCACCTCTTCATCCATTCCCCCACAAACCCCTCTCATCTAGCAATCATCAAAAGTTCTTTGTATCCATAATTCTGTCTCTGTTCTTCTTGTTTGCTTAGTTTGTTTTTTAGATGCAGTTGTTGATAGATATGCATCAACTGCCATTTTATTATTCATAGTTTTCATCTTCTTTTTCTTAACTAAGTCCCTTTAACATTTTATATAATATTGGTTTTGTGATGATGAACTCTTTTAGTCTTTTTCTTGTCTGGGAAACTCTTTATCTGCTCTTTGATTCTAAAGGATAGATTTTCTGGGTAGAGCAATCTTGGCTGTAGGTCTGTGCTTTTCATGATTTCAAGTATTTTTTTGCCAATCCCTCTAGCCTGCAAAGTTTCTCTTTAGAAATCAGCTGGAAGTTTTATGGAAACTCCCCAGTAGGTAACTACCTGCTTTTCTCTGGATGCTTTTAAGATTCTCTCTTTATCTTTAACCTTTAGCATTTTAATTAGGATGTGTCTTTACTTAGGTAAGCCTTTTCACATTTATCTTCTTTGGAACTCTCTGTGCTTCTTGGGACTTGAAGGTCCACTGCCTTCAACAAATTAGGGAAGTTTTATTATTTTTTCAAATGGATTTCCAATTTCTCGCTCTATCTCTTCTCCTTCTGGTACCCTATCATGTAGATGTTGGAATGCTTAAAGTTCCAGAGGCTGCTTACACTATCCTCTTTTTTTAAATCTTTTTTCTTCTTGTTGTTCTAATTGGGGTTTTTTTTTTTGCTTCCTTATATTCCAATTGATTGATTTGATTCTCAGCTTCTTCCACTCTACTGTTATTCCCCTGTAAATTTTTCTTTATTTCAATTAGTTTTTCTTTGTTTCTGACTGGGTCTTTTTTTATGCTGCCGAGGTCCTCATTTAGTTCCTTGAGCATCCTTATAATTTAAATATATGTCAGTAGAAGGATATATTCTAAACTATAAAAATAACATGTTTCATGATGATGAGATTAGAGATAAAGGGTTTTCTTTTATTTACATAGTTTTGTATTACTTGAACTGTTGCAACCAGCATGTACTGTTATTTTCTGTAGTAAAAATTTAAAAGCATATTAAAAGTTTCAATACCAGTCACTTCTAGTTTTGTCTCTTGGTAAAATTATGATGCAGCTCAATTTTGTGGGCTCTATCTCTTTCTCCTTATTCTGTAAGATTTGATTCCATTTCTGTCTCCCTCTATGGCAACATATGTGTTATATTTCTGTCAAAATGTATTGTCAAAAAGGGTATAAGAAATTTATACTCTCATAAATGTAACTTCTAATAGCATGTATTTTTGCCTTTCTAAAATATATTTATTATTCAACAAAGATCAAAGTCATAAGGTCAGATATAATGATCCTCTTGCTTGAATTTCTATGATCTATCAGCAAGGGAAGGGTTTTAAAATGAGAGAGACTTTCTGGCTCTACAAATTCATATAATCTAGGTGTTATATGTGGTCTGTTCTGCCCTGTGCATAAATATAGACCTGGTTACTGGACCATATGGTAGGATAATTGACTGAATGATACTGTGGGTTTTACACTGGTATATAGGGTGGGGTAAAAGTAAGTTTACAGTTTTGAGTGTGTGAAAAGGTTTATTTTTATACTATTATTTATTAACTATTGTATTATTTTCCATATGAACAACTTAAACCTACTTTTGCCCCACCCTGTATGTAGGCCATATACACCATTATGAGAAGTTTGGTTGCTGTTGTTTTTTTTCCCAGTGAAATGAGGAGCCATTTCGACATTTTGAGTGGGGAGTGACAATGTCTGCCTTAGTTTTAAAACAATTACTCTGGCTGTTGGAAGTAAAGATTGGAACTAAAAAGATCAGTTAGGGACTATTGTAGTAATCTAGTTGAGAAGTGATGATAGTAAGAATTGGTTAGATTTTGGATATAATTGAAGGCAGAGACAGCAGAATTTCCTGGTGGATTTGCTCTAAGATGCAAGAGTCAGTGTAATTAGAAGGGTAAAGTTGTCATTGTCTTTGAGGCTAATTAGTATTTCATGTCAACCGGGTACAGATGAAAAGTCCATCTGGGCTGAGGGAAGGATTAGTTCTATTCTTGATTGTTTCTCTTCCTTCATCTCCTTGTTCTGAGCAGCATCCAGCTTCTCCTAATTTATATCTAATTTAGGTCAAATGAATAACTTTCTATGAGGATTAATAGGCATTGAAGAGAGTTTTTTTTAAATCATTCTCTTCAATTGCTGAAAGTTCAAATTTTAAGTTCAGAATCTTCATAAATTGTCTTAATAAAGCCATTATAATTTATTTGCTGATTAGTATTCACACATTCATATAGTACTAGAATTTAAAGAGATGCAGCCCTCTCCTATCTGTTCTGCAAATAAATGTCTACTGTAGAACTCTGGGGATTTTATGGGTGCCTGCTTATATCACTGCAGTGCATCAACATTGCTGTATTAAATGCTACCCTGGCCCAAACTGCATCAGTGTGGTTTTTTTTTTCATTTAAAGATCTCCTGCCCATTTATGCATGATGATGACATCAAACCAATCAAGCCGCTGTGAGAAATCTGCTAGTTACACATTATCATTTACTTATGTTTCCCACCCCAAGAATATTATGTTTCTTCTCTATCTAATTAAGAAGCCTAGAGGAGACATTTGGTCATTTCTCCTTTAAAAATGTTCCCTATCTGACCATGAGTATAGGACAAATAAGGTTTCTATTTTCGTAAGAACATTATTATGTACTTTCTCTTTGATACCCCAATGGCATGAGAACATTTTGTAATCATATTTTCTGAGAATGGTTAAAGAAATCAATGGAAACCAGGCAGAATGGCTGTAAATGTTCTGGAACAACTGTTAAATAGAATTGAGGGACTAAAGAGAAGAGGACTGGGATGCTTCATGTTGTAAGCCTTTTTAAAAAAAGGATATTGATAGAATATTTTTCAAGGACTAGGATAAAGCTGTTCCCTTTAACAAACTATTTATTTTAGTCCTTGCATGATTTACCCTCTTTTCTTCTTTGGCTGATTAGTATTCCCACTAATTACAATGAGGTAAACGATCTTTAATAAAGAAAGATTTTTACTTTGATGCATCACACAATGCCCTTAATGAAGACAATACAACAAATGATGTAATTGGCCAGCATAGGACCTGAGCACTATTTCTCTAACTTTCAACAAAAAAAGATGAAAGCAACTTAATGTGCCTATCAAAAAAATGGCAAATTTTATTTTTTCTTCCTTTCTTCTTTCTCCCTCTCCTTATCCCATCACACACACGCACAGCATCTACACAATATTAATTTCTGTAGTTAGAGTGAAGTAGTCTTTCAAAACATGACAGGAGGTATACTAAAGGAAAGGACAGTGAGAATTGGCCACTTGAAACTGGCAATGTACAAACTGCCTGAGACTCTTCTGTTTTTCCAAAGAGAAAAGTAAGTAACAGACTTTCCTGTCATGCTGAGTACAAAAGTTACATGCAGTGTTAGAATCACCTTCCTTTCTTATGTCCACAGCTCCAAGCAGAAGAGCGTTCTCTGACTGCTCACTTCCTTCTGAACACAATTTAAGCAGGCTGACCAAGTGGCCCAGTCATGGCATGTCACTCTTGTCCTTGTGTATTTATTAAAACTGTCAAAGATTCCGAGTTTGAAAAATAAATTAAAAGATCTCTTTAGCCATAAGAGAATCTGATCTCCATGGGAGTTGCACTTTGACTAAATGAATGGGCTAAATGTCTCTTTTAATATTATCAGAAATGTACATGTGTAGAACTGATGATCATGGTCTAGAAAAATTTGGATTGGTTCAGCAATCCAGGTGGTCAAACTTACCTAGTCCCATGCCATATGAAGCCACCTTTCCAAGGTATGGTTTAGTTTTTGCTTCTTCTTGTCTTCCTGAAACAAAGCAAGAAGTGTTGCCACAAGTAAATGTCTGTTTAGGGGGGAGAAAAGCAAATAATTTAATATGATTGAAAATATGTAGGTTCCAATTTTCATATATTGGAAATGTTTAGGTATTTCAAAGAGTTTCTGTTGAGAGGCAGCTGTTGAAGTGTGTGTGCATGTGCATGTGGGTGTTTTCCTTCTATTTGGGGGAAGAAAAGCTTATAACCTCTTGTAATGGTCTTATAGTTTCATCTATGACATAGAAATTATATCAAATTTATCTTTACCCAGCAAATACAAAACTGGATGCAATATTTGAAGAAACTTGTTTTAGGCATTGGCAAACAGCACAAGCCTGCGATCCCTGAGATAAGGGAAATGAACAAGGTGAACTCCACATTGACCCTGGCTTTCCCTGTTGGGGTACTTTCCAAGTGATAACATCTGGAAGAAAAGCCCCCACCAAAAAGAGCTGTGTTGCTGGACAAAGGAAATATCAAACTTTGTAGGATGTTGGAATGTGCAGGGTAGGGTATCAGAGTCTAGGATACTGTACAGAGAAGGAATTTCAGAAATCCGAATATAGGTTTCCTGGGTCTATAGCTGACTATGCATATTTAGGTGAGATTTCCAGTCCTGGCAAAAATTGTTACTGAAGGCTCTTAGATGAATGGATATTCTGAAAGAGCACAGGATTGGGAGATGTTGAAATTCCCAACATTCAGAAGGGAGAGACCTCAATGAACATATAAAATGTTGGATTGAGATGCCAGAAGTCCATGCCTTAGGAGTGGGCTACTCTGTCATAATGGTTATTCTAGCCCTGTCCTAGCAAAGTCTTTAGTTCTGTAATCCTTTTCAATATATACCCAAGAAAAATGAAAGTAATAGTCTCTGGGAAGATTTCTTAGGGTATATTTATGGCAGTTTTATTACTAACAGCCTATAACTGAAAACAGCCCAAATATTGCCAACTGGATAATAGACAAACTATTGTAGAATAGTCATATAGTATGATACTACTCAGCAATAAAAAAAGGACTACAGTATCAATATATCCACCAATACGGGTGGCTCTCAAAAACGCGCTGAGTGAAAGAAACCAGACACACAAAAAAGTTTATATTGGATACCTCTATTTTTATGAAATTCTATTATAGGCAAAACCATGGAGACAGAAACCAAGGCTGTTGTTGCCTCCATTGGGATTGGAGAATAGGCTGGGAAGGGGCATGAGGAAAAGTTCTCAGGTGGTGAAAATGTGTATTTTAACAACAGTAGTGGCTATGCAGAATTATATATTTGTCAAAATGTATAAAACTGCAATTAAGAATAAAAATAAATTAATATGCATTAACAATAGAAAAATATAATGGCCACCAAAGAAGTGTCTCTTCCCTCCCATAGGCGTATAGCAGAAGGAAGGGCACTTTCTACATCTTGAGGGATGGGAATAGAGGGGTGGGGGAGTTCTCTGCCTTTCCACCCCCAAATTCACTGGCTTAGCATGAAAGATGTAAATTTATAAGATGTCTTGGCCCTTGGTCACACTAAGTTGGAAGGTGTGGTGACACCAAATTGAGGTGTTTTGGATCAGTTACAAGGCGACTCAGAGTTCATTTCCTTTCTGATTTATAGCACATTTGAAAAAGTGTTGTCCAGAACTCATTTGGAAACAGAATGGTAGATTGAGCATTGGCCCTTAAATCTAACTCTGTTTTCTTGAATTAATGTATTTGTGTCAGATTCTATGTGGCGGGGGCCCAGCTCCCACTCGGAGATGCACAGGACCCACGCCCACGGATAGGTTCTCCTGTGGGTAATCAGGCCTGCAATGTGCCTAGGCTGCTTTTGAATCTTGCTTTTTGCTAAAAACTCCCTCACTCGGATTTGTGGCAAACATTTACTGCAAATTAACTTCCTAAAATCCATGCTAAACCTTCCAAGGACAAATGTAACCAGTTCAATCACTTTTGCTTTTTCATTTGCAAATATCCCTCTTCTGTGATGTGATTATCGGCATTGGCTCCTTTGTTGTCTGTAAAAGGTAACTACCTAAGGCAACCTGTGCATAGTAAATGGGGACCATAATGTAATGTGCCAGCCAAGAAACCCAATAAAGGCCGGTCATGGCAAGGACCACGGCTTTTGCTCCCCTTGAGAGAAAAAGCCATGCTGTCCCTTTTCCTCCACCGGACTTGGTAGTCCGTGTGAATGTCTCATTTCATCCCTAATGACACGGACACTTCAGGCCCGTGTCCACATCATTCTTAACCCTTGTAGGCTTCAGCTATAGAGTAATAAAAACTCTTTCATGTGATTCTTGTCAAGGATATTGAGATATAGGAATGAAAGGGGGTAAGAAAAATATTGGTCATTATTTCATAACTATAAAATGCTCTCTTTCTCTCTTTCAATCCCCAAACTCGAAACTGGATTCTTAAGCTGGTTTAAGGTTTATCCTCATGTAAATGTCTGTTTTGTTGGTAATTCTGGGTGTGTTTGCTAAAGTAACTCTTAAAACACTCACTATATACTCATATTCTTCTTCCACATTCGTTCTTAGGATTTAGATTTCACTTTCTTTTTTGGAGATGTGCTTTTAATAAACAACACTTTTTAAGCCTTGTAGCTCAGACTGAAGATGGGATTTCTGGGATGGTTTTATTTAGAAATATCTAAAGCCCGTGGTCAATGTGTTTTAAGACTTTTCTAAGACTCTCTCAGGATAAAAAGTTTTGTTAAATTAGTATGTTAAATAATTTAAATTAATTTGTTAAATTAATTTTAAAAAGTTTTGTTAAATTAGTAACAAATTTTGTTAAATTTGTTAAATTATTAGTATAATTAGTATTAGTCTCAAAGTTCATTTAGGATCACAGAAAAAGATGAGTTTTTTTAATGTACCATAATTTTTAAATAAAGGACCCCCCCATTTACATGAAGCCCTTGTATATTTAAATATCTATTAATGAGCTTGTTTTTATTCCACAACTGAATGTACAACCAAGAATGGATATAAATATTTTTCTGATGTGGCATAAAAGGAGTCACTTTATTTTATTACCTGCAGTTATGGGTCCATCCCTCAGCTGAGTTTGTTTCAGCTACTCAACACAAGGCCATTTTCACTATCAGGCCAGGGGGCTCAGTATGAAACATCATATGTTTATCCAGCTTTGGTAAAGAGGATTATCATGTCTAATTGGGAATCATTACCTAGTAATTAGTCTTAGGTTGTATTCATGGTCAGTTGAATGACCAATATATATTTGGTGGCTCTAATTTTATTTCTCACTAGAGATTGGGGTTTTTTTTTGGAAATAAAGGAGCAACAATGTCTGTGATCCATGGATGTTTGGTTTCATAGGTAGAAATTTCCAACCCCACAGCCACTTTCCTGGGCTTCTCAGTTGAAAAAGGGGTAACATAGGATAGTTTGTGGGGAATGGAGAGGAGGAAGTAAGGCTGCCCGGATATGGGCAAGTTTCAAGATCCAGTGCATCATTTTGGTGATTCTGTGTTCTTTCAATGACTTATACAACATGTGCCCTCCTGATGAGATTCTGAGCTATATAGGGACTGGGTTACTGTGTGTTTTGTCACTCTGTCTTCCCCATATCCATGTACTTTGTGAGCAAGTAGTGCATAATTGTGAAATGAAGGAATGAATTGGGATGTGCAATACAGATAAAATGCTACTTCAGAGTAATCTTGCTATTCTGATATTAGCAAAGTGAAATATGTAGTGTTTTATTTGGACAGTTTTAACATCACTTTCCACTTATTGAAGTGCATATTTAATCATTCTACTAGATTGTCAAATTTTTGTTCAGAGGAAATACTGCCAATTTACCTTTACACTTTATAGTTCCTATGCATGTTAAATAGTCGATTAGGTCATTTGCTGAATGAATGAGTGAATCCTAAGAAGCCCTAAAAATTTAAGAAGCCCTATAAAACTTAAAGTGATATTTACTGGTACCTACTTGTTAATATTCAATGACTATTGTATTGAGAAAGCAAGGAAGTTTACCTCTGTGTCAAATCGATCAAACATTTAGTCAATGACCACCACTTTTCTTTTTGGAAATGAGACATGTGGAAGCTCTGCAGGATGCCTTGTCTAAGTAGGATACACTATGGGCAAGCACATCCCTCAGTGGATTCCTAATTCTATTATTCAGAATTTCTTTAATTATGTTGCCCTTCTATTAAAAAATTGTGCTGATTTTCATGGGGTGCTGACAGGCAAAGATGTTCATAATTATGTATCAATTTAGCTTATGACTGGTCAGTACCAAGATGCTACTTATTAGAGAATCACATTGAACTTGTGGCCCTAGACTATGGTCCTTGAGTCCTTGGCATTTGGCCTATAATGGTGGAAGTAAAAAGGTTAAATTATTTGCTTCCACAGTGGGGAAGTCTTTGGTAGAGAGGTCTTTGAGCTTTCACTGACTCCTTGGACAACCTCATTCATCCTAAGATTATGTATGTCTCAGACCAAAAAATATCACTGTGTCCTGTGCCTCTTTCTAGAGTCTTTCCTGAGCTAAACTCTGCAAACACCTCATATTTGCAAGTAGGAACAAGTGCCCTATCTTATCTCTCAGATTCACTGGGGCAGGGATAACACATAAGTTTTGAATAAATTTTTATGATTGAAATGGGAAAAATAGCAGAAACAGATTGAGGGACAAAGATTAGGAGAATATTCTATAAGGAGAACCAGAAAAGAAAAAAGTAGTAGGTGGAGAAACAGGGAAGAACCAGAACCCTGATATACCTGAAATGCCAAACCCACGGAAGGTTTTAAGAGGAGAAATTAATAGGGTAATGGGCCACACAGAGAACGTAGGAAACAAGAACTGGGTAAAGAAGCAATTGACTTGTCAAAAAGGGGCTATTGGAGACTCTAAAGTGTGCCATTTCAGGAGGAGGTAAGGAGGAAAGCTAATTACAAAGAACTAATGAAAAAACAAGTGATGAAAATAAATTAAAGCAAT